TAGTAGCCATGACAATATCCCAATCTCAGTTCCATAGTAGAAGCTGATTTAGAAGAAAGACAGTAAAACAGGTGTTGTTGCTTTTTTTTTTAGATGTGAAAATTATTTTGCCTATGGATACTTGCTTTAGCAGTTTTGCATGTGACTTGAAGCAATGTATGCAACAGTGTTAAAAAAAAAAAAGGAGAAACATCGTAAGCTGTCCAACTTGCAGAAACCAGCATTCGAAACAGGAATGAGAGAAAGTCTGTGAGCCACCTGTTTCTCACTCACTTCTGCTGCACTCTTGGCATAATGCAGGCTTGTTCATGGCAGATTAACACCAGGACATATGAGGTGGCACAGCCAGCTGAACTTCAAAACAAGAGTGGGGGCCAATGCCGTTCATGCAGTTTGTGGCATCCCGTGCATTTAAATCACATGATCCCTCTGTGTAAAATGGTGATTTCCCACCTTGTCCACAGAAATGCCTGGTCACGATGTTCAGCACCAGCGTGGGCACGAAAAAAAAAAAAAAAAATTAAATCCCATCTGGTTGGGTAAGAAATTCTTACACTGCATTAGTGGTTTGTGTCATGTTCAGGCAACAGCATGCCTACGCTGTGCTGTTCTGCTAAAACCGTGATGTCGCACCACGGATCTGTCACAGAGCTGTTTCACACCCTGGCCTGGACCCAAACCAGTCACACAACATGAAACTGTGCAGCTCATCGCTTGTTACGAATTCTGTGAATTACACTGTAACTCTCCGGGCCTCTTTCTGACCCTGCTGACTTCTAAAACTTTTTCAAACCTCAGATATGAGAAAAAATGTGATACACCTTCAACAAGACGCAGTCTGAAATTAGATATTATGATATGTTATTCTGATTTATCTTCAGATGGATCCCTTAGGCCAAGCCACTTAATTCAAAACAACACTAAGTTTATATGGTCTGCTGAATACAAACTCAGTTTTTAATGTTACAAAAAGAAATAAATAAAAATAAATCTTGAAGCATTATATTTAAATCAAAGCAGTTGATTTCATGTTTCGACATGTAGTATAGTCTCAGTTCAGTGGACAGTGCCAAAAAAAAAATGCAATAAATGTCCTTAAAGTTCTCACATTGGAACCACAAGCTTCCACATATGAGTCCGATATTTTTATTTGACTGAGCGACACAAAGCAGCGTCGCAGTGTCTGTGGAACAGACTGGATAGAATTATCCAGATATAATTCACATCTCCTCATTAGATCTGAAGAAAGGAATCCACACAGGATCATCGCATGCTGTGACAAACATAAATGCAAGTCGCACTTTCTAGATTTTTGTTCTTTAAAAAAATGTCTAAAATATCACATTATTTTCTGTTCACTTCATAACTGTGCACTGTTGTGTTAGTCTATAGCATAAAACCCTCTTCTAAATGAATTAAAGCTTAAATAGGCTGAAAGGGTGTAAATACTGTTGTACTTTTTCACTGTAATTGAATGAAGAGGTTATTTGGAAAGCGCAGAAGAGGAAACATGACCTCGAGATTTTTTTTTTTTTTTTGCTTTTCCAACCCACTCTGACTGCTACTCAGTTGCCCCACCACATGTCCTGATCCCCACACAGATGTTTTCCTCTGGGATTATCCCGTGATACGGCATGTAGTGCAACAGACAGTGATCCCCTTTTAGCAAAGATGGCTCCCAAGGGCCTTTTCAGGGGGCCCCTCATTTTTATTTTCTCGCTATAAAGTGATAATGAGTTGATTTTTACGTTTTCTTTAGAAAATATTGCACTATTGCGTTTTTTTTTTCTTTAGGTTGTGTTTCACCACCACTCTTAGACCAGTACGGATTTGTTCAGCGATTTGTCAAAAATTGTTATACAGAGGTTATAATTTGTTTGAGTTTTGATTCGTTTTTAAATACTAAGGTTACAAGGTGTCTCGCCTGAACCATTACTGCTGCCTCTTTGTGTTTCCCTGATGACTGCTTCCCAAGTTTCTGCCTTGTTTTGCCATAAGACTAACCTCAGTGGTCCGCAGTCATAAACCACTAATTGCAACATTTTAGAAGATCTGAGCTTGAGCTTGAAAGGGTCTTTCAATGTGAACTTAAAGAAAAAAAAAGAAAAAAAAATTATGAGCCTTCGGGACGTCATTTTGCCTTATGTTGCAGTGGAGCAACAATTACACACACACACAACTAGCTGCAGAGTGTCAGACTAGAGTTTTATTGGCTCTTCTATTGGACAGGGTGCAGGAGGAAGACACATTAAAAACAAAAGTCAGGTTACAGATACTGACAGATACTGAGGCAGAGCCCCTTGAATTGGACTTGTCCCTCAGTGACTTAGAGTCGCTGTGTTTCCTCAGTATCACCTATCAGTCAAGTCAATCAGTGGCTGAGATAAAGCAACTGTTTAAGTTGAAAGCTTTGAGCACAACAGGCAGAAATCTCCCCTGGGTCTCTTATCTCATTAAACTTGAAAAGGATATTAATCCTGGAAAAGCTAAGCTCACAATAAAGACAGAGAAAAAAAAAAAAACAGGAAGACTGTTGGTATTATCAAAATAATCAGTGCGGTGTTCAAAATGTGCTCTTTATTTTATTTCTTTCAGGTTTGGTGGTTAGATTGACTTACATGACAATTATTTAACAAATTGATAAAAAAAATGATTCATTACCCTTTAAAGCAAATGTTTGGGCATTTATTTGGCATTTTGGGAAGTACAATGTAAAAAAAAAAAAAAGTCTCATTTATTGTTTGACTCAAACCAGTTAGATTGATGGAGATGGACAAAAATGTTTGTGTTTAATTTAAAACGTCGGCAGAGACATACTCCAGTAGCGCAAAAGGAGGTTCTACAAAAAAAATCAAATTTACTCAATGGGCCTCAAAACAAACACACAGCATAGTTTTCTGATTTTTATTTGCAAAAAGGTATCTCAGATCTTTTGTTATTTTCCTTTCACTTCACAGTTATCACATAAACCAGCAAATAAATAAATTAAACTTTGTTATTGTAACGTTGACAAAATACTAAGCACTTTTTGGAGGTATGCATAATTTCCCAAGATATTGAAATTATAGGTCACATTGTTTTATAAGATAAAATCGACACATATCAAGATGATAAAGCATTTGATTTAATGTTTTATCATCAAATGTAAGTGATAGACATGAAAGAAAGAAACTCAGTCTTCAAAAACAAAAATAAAAAAGACCCATTTCCACAATTTAAACTGACATCCAGCTTTTTTTCCCCCACATTATTTTTCAAAGGCGCACATGTAAACTAAAGCACGCACAAAATGGTGTCGTATTTTACTACCAGAGCCGCACAATCCCACACCTCGATTAAGGTTAGCACATGGAAAGAAAAACACAGAGTTCTGCAGCTAGATGCCAGACTTTGTGAATCCTGACAGGCACCAAAAGAGAGCTGGACGTTTTCCTCCATGTTCTCTGTCGTACTCAACCTTGGTGGGCGACACTCAAAAATGTTCACCTGACAAATGACTTCCTCGTTTTCCTTAAATAGTGAGGTTCGTGCACATTTATGCGTGTCACACTCCAACATAAGCAAGACGATGACAGGTTGAACCACATGGATGTGCTAAAATCGGGTTAATCCCTTCAAATTAGCTCCATACGATTCATAAAACCGCCCGCTCCTTCCAGATGAACTGAAAATGGGTAAAAGCATGTGACGCATGAAACAAATAAACCTACAAATGACTTCTGTTATTAAAGAGGTCGAAAAGCAGGAAGTCAAATATTTTTACCATATGGTAGGTTTTGGGGGTTCATAGCCTATCTCCAGCGGTCAGAACGATCATCCACACACACACACACACATGCATACACACTCCAATTTAGAGAGACTAATTACCTTCACACTCATGTTTCTGGTCTGTGGGAAAAAATCAGAGTACCCAGAGAGAGCCCACACATCCACTTGGAGAAAATGCAAAGTCCACCCAAAAACAGTCGGGAACAGGATTTGAACCATTGACTTTTCCGCGTATGAAATCCGATTAGTCTTTATATTTAAATAATTGCAAATATTAACTTACAGACCATTGTGTTTTTGCTTTTTTTTAAACCTACCATGACATTTTTTTGTTATTCAACCTGAATTTCAAGTTGTGCCAAAGCAGCATACTGAAAAAAAATTCACTTCTTACATTTGATTTTGGCGTGTCCATCCATCCGTCCCTCAGCTGGCCAAGCCCTTCTGAAACCTTTGGCATGTGCCCTTGCTTGGACCTAAAACTATCTGTAGCTTCAAAAAAAAAAAAAAAAAAAAGTTAGAGATCAAGCTTAGAAACAAAACAAATAAAATGCAAATCATCTCAGCTTTTCTCGGTCAGCAACTCCATCGACAGGTGCTTTACGTTCCCACCTGACTGAGCAACGCTGTGTTTGGACAGCTGGTCTGAGTAAACAGGGAACTTTGCTGGGTCAGGGTGACCACAGCTGCTTGGTGAATTTATTGTGTCTACTGGAGCAGATATATCATCAATTGTGGTTTTGATCTGAATTTACAATTCTTGACGTTTCCTTCTCGATTTGCTAAAGCTTTTGAAGCAGTCTGAGAAAGTAAGGCAGATGTCATAAACTCCATGCTCATGCTGTTTGGCTCGCACCGGTAGCAGGGGAATAGATGTAAATTAGAACCTGGACCCCAGAAAGAGAGTTTTCTTTTATTGGTAAATGGAACACGTGAACAAAAAACAAACAAAAAAATTTCGTTCAACTTCAAAATGTAATGTTGTCATTGCACATATTCTAAACAGAGAAACGACGTTTTCAGAACCACAAGGATTTACATGACATAGGCTAGAAACCCAATTTCTACATTAAGCAACTGCAAAACATTTGGCCTTTTTGTCTCGTGGTCTGACACCATCTGATTTAATATCAGTGAGTGAGAAACAAAGTGTGTGTCTTGTGAATGTTTGTGAATGTGCCTTTGTCGACATGCAGACTGGTTTTACTATTGCTCTGTTGTTGTTTCAGGAACTGCTGCTGCTGCTGCTGCTGCTGCTGCATCCTTGATGGTTGTGCAGGAAGCTCTACTTCTGCTTCTGGGTCTGACTCAGGGTCAAAGATGTGCCGCCGTACAGCCCTGCATCTGTTTGCAGCCATGTGTACAAAGCGATAGTGTAAACACTGAGCCGGAGGTCGGTGAGGCCAGCAGCAACTTATTTGCATAAACCTGTCAGCTCATTCTGAAAGGAGCTCAAAAGAAGCAGAACTGAGCAGGTGAAATCTCAATATCTGAGAATGATTTTGAGTAAAAAAATAAAACATGTTTTGCATAGCCCATAGACCTATCCTAACTTGTTCAAAACAAGGCATATTAGGTGCCCTTTAAAATAAAATGCATGAATTATTACAGTCGTTCTGCAAGGCATTTACAAGAATATGGACTCGGAATGTGGGCTGACAAAATCCCACAGTAGAACCGCATTAGGTGTTCTTCTGTTTCAACCTTTGTCTGATGTGTCACTGGACTAAAACTGAAAACAAGGAGTTACTCACAGGTACCTGTGGTCCCCATCCCCCACATATACCGAGTCGCCAGTGTATTTGCAAAATGCCAGAATAATGAGTACATTTCTTTCTGAATTTTTCAATACAGTTTCTTATTTTCTTTGTATTTAGTAGAATACCCTGTACGCTGAGGGTCGTTGTCTATTTAGAAGACTCACTTGTTTCCAAGCTTTAACAGCCTGATGTCCTGAAATGTTACTTCTGTATTTTCACATAATCTTCTTTCCATGCGTGCTGGGTAGTGCACCCGTTCCTCCTACAGCAAATCAGCCACACAACATGCTGCTGCCACTGCTGTACATCACAGTCGGGCTGGTGTGGCCTGCTCAGAAAACCTTCTTTTTTCTTTTTTTTTTTTTTTCCCCCTTCAAATTGTGTGATGATTGTTGTGAGCAAATCCCTTAAATGTAGTTTCTCCACACCACTCACTCCAAATAATATATTCATTTTGTTTGTGTGTCTATATTGGTGAGGTGAAATCTGACTGTTTTTTTAATGTTGATTTATAAATAAAGGTTTCTTCCCTGCTGAGTGGCCTATCAGCTCATGTTGTTGTTGCCTTAATAGATGTTTCTACGTTTAACTGAAATCTTTTAGTTAGATATTGCCATGTTGTTTGGACAAAATAATGTTTGTGAATCTAGAATTCAGATCTTTGTAAAAAGCAATGAGAAAATCCTCCACGTCTCTTTATACACTTTTTTTCATAGACACAAACTTTTGCCTATGAAAAATATGTTTCTTTTTGTCTCCCTGCCCCCAACCACTCTGTATTTCCTCCCTACGTGTGAACACTGCATGACAATAACTCTTTGTTTCGTGGTCCTGTAGGTGATATAATTCAGATCTCTCGAAGTAATGGAAGTAAGCAAGTTGGCTGAATTCTTTGTTATTTCCTTACACCTTTTAAAAAGTGCTTGTTTGCTTTTACAACTGGCTCCGTGGGCAGCAGGGGAGGGGCGGTGCAGATGGATTTGGGCTTCGTTATTTTTTCTCTGCCTTTGTAACAGCTCATTTAAAATCACAAGGGCCTGAAGTTCAAGACAGATGGGGCCTACTTAAGAAAGAGTCAGTGTCTAATTCAAGTAAAATACTTCCTAATGTGAGGTAACTCGACACCTTTGTGAAAACGCTTTGGGCACTCTGATCGAAAAGTTTTCCAGATCAGTTGACCAGTTTTGGATATCTGTTGCACTTAACGTAAAATCCCGAACAACTGCACACGATCAGGAGCAGACCTCTAATCCTTTGTGCAGCATCAGCAAATATTTCCAGATTGGAGTATGCATAAGTAACATTGGATATTGACTGAACTACGCCGGCTTCACAAACTGAGCTCACTGTGAAATTGCTTAAGCTTGGTTTAAAAGTATTCATGCAAAAGTCATATATCACGAGCTCGCAGCTCACCTTATCTGCTCCGCCGCTACACTTTCACATGAAGCCGTGCCCGTTCACATCAAAAGAAATGTTTTAAAGTCCCTTAAGCTCCCTTTGAAGGGTCACATTTAGATCCTCCTGAAAATAAACAGCTGGGTCGTGGAAGGTATTGTGGGAACAGCAAGTTGATACGATGATTCAAACAGTCCGTCAGAGTTGTTTATTCAAATTTATCCAGAATGCCACTTTGAATTTATTTATTTATTTTTTTTTTTTCATTAAAGGATAACTTGTTTGGAGGTTGCTTGCTTTGTTCCTTCATGTAGCATCATCATTAGAAAAAAAAAATCAAACAGCAAGAATCTCAGAGGTAATTTAACTTTATTTTTTTTTTAGAAAAAAAAAAGGTTTATCACACAAGGCAACAAAGAGGAAAAAAAAATGCAAACTGCTATGAACAGACCACAGAACCCCCCCACCCCCCGACCCCCATTCACCTCCGTTCACCCACCCACTGGCAGCGAGGAGGGGAGTTGTGGGGGGGGGGGGCTCTCATTATAACCAAATCAAAGGAGAAGGAGAACAAGACTCGCATTGTTCTGATTGTGTTTACTTACACTAAAAACATTAAAACCGGACAATCTGACTGTGCAGCATAAGACGGACAGTTTTGATTTCTCACATGAATCCAAACACGGAACCTTGGAGTAGGATTTTTTTTTCTTTTCTTTTCTTTTTTTTTTTACATTTAGTCGACAGTAGTACTAACAAAACAGGAAGGTTCATGACTCTGAAATACATTGGACAGATCACTTTAAGACAGACTATACACGTTGCAATGGGCACTTTCTGGGGAAAATTAAAATAAAGGTCCCATCCATGTTTTGTTTTTTTGTTTTTTTCTTAAGTAACATCAACCCTGTGTGTTGAGGTAAGCAGGCCGCAGGGGAATATGAAGGAAGCGATTCCCTTTAAAAAGAAAAAAGAAAAAAAGGAGTCCCTTAACCATATCCCCACTCACTTTGTAATTCGTCTTGACAGTAAATCAATTCTCGAGCCTGGCCCCTTGGACTCCTCCGACACTAGGTCCTCCTCTCTCAGCATTCCTGCACACATGAATCAACTCCTGGCTTCTTGAAGGCATTTCCTGCCCGACCCTCTCTCTTTCTCCCTTTCTCCCTGTCTGACTCCTCTGCTGAAAGCTGGGCAGGAACTCCGTTAAGCTTTGATTTTGGACCCAGAGAGGAGGAGAAGGAGAAAGAGGAGGAGGAGGAGGAGGAGGAGGGCAGGGAGAAAAGGAGAAGAACTCGACCTAATGCAGGGCTCTGGCTATGCGATCATTCCAAGGCGGGATGGGATGGAGACCAGGGGCGTGTGAAGGAGATGCCTGCACACCCAAGCCAGGATTTAGTGCTTTATCCTTCAAATTGCAATACGAGTTTCTGCCCTGTTAGGATTATTTTAAATGCGCATTCTCTCTAAGACAAGATATTCCACATTTCCGCTGTGGGAAACACTGAACAGTGAATGTTGTCACAGGTTTTCATGAAAAAAAAAAAATGAAAAAAAAAAGGATTTAGCTTCCAGAACAAAGAGCAAAGACTAATAATATTTGAATATTTTATGGAAAATTGTACAGAATGGCGGCTCATCGAAGCTGTACATCTGCTAATGCTTCCCTCTACAAATCACCTTTGATGCTAAATCCACAGTATTATGTACATAAAGGTTTGTCAGTCGAGCCGACTCCAGGTGACCAAAGCGGCTCTTAAAAAGAAAGATCTAAAGTGTCTTCATATTTACAACCAAGGAAACATACATATTTTACAGCGATCACAAACACAGAGACCACAAACAGAGTCTTGACAGTATAGGATGAGTGAGGCTGCAGCTGAGTGAGAGGAGGTCATATGTTGTGACAGAGCTGGTCTACCGTGCGATGTCTGACGTGTATGCGTGCGTGCAAGTGGAGATGTTTGTGATCGTTGTGAGCGGGCGATATCAACTCCATCCATTCCCCTCAGATCATGGCTCTTATCACCAGTCTCCCTTTGACCTGGTGGAGATAGGTGCTCTGTTCGGATTCTAGGCGCCGATTGGTCAGAGCCTCGTCCTCGCTATCAGCCGGCTCCTCTTTGACCTTGATGACCCCACAGTGAGCGTCTGGGAGCTCGCCGATCGAGCTGCCACTGCTGCTGCTGCTGCTCAGCGTGTGCTTCCGAATGACTCCTCCAGGGGGCAGCCTGTCCTCCTGCATGCTCTCCGTCTCCTCTTTAGGCTGCTGCTCCTCCTGCTCCTCCTCTGATTCCTGCAGGTGCGTGCTGGGCTGACGTAGCTGCTCAATGGACTTGGACAACAGCTGCAAAACACATCAGCTTGACGTTAACACCGACATCCTGCGTCCATGCGCGTATTAGTTAAATGAGCCTTGTAAAGCAGCCCTATTTGTAAATGAAAACGGAATCCAGTCCCTCACAAACTTTGTAACCACATAAAGAACTAGTCTAGCATACGATGACGAAGAAGTATTTATATCAGGGAACCTTTTCACATCTGGTCACATTACAACCGCAAACTTTAAGATGTTTTATTGAGACACTGAAGTAAAGAGGACGAAAGATGATACATAGCCTTTTTCCTCTTAGACTAAAAAAAAAAAGTAATGTGGAGTCCGTTTGGATTGAGCGTTCCTTACTCTGACTTTTTGTTCTTTTTTTTTTTTAAACAATTCAGCTCAATCAACTGCTTACAGAAGTCTCCTAATTGGTAAATAACACTGTGTCCCAGTAGAAATGGGTCTGATTACCCATTTGGTACATATGTATACCAGCTTTGTGGACCAGAAATGTAGAATAGCATTAGTTCCTTGCTTCGTCAGTAATAACAGCTTGGATGGAAATAACCTTTGTGTAGGTTTTGTTTTTGTTTTAAATATTAGAGTTCATAATAGCAGAAGTGTGATCTCTTGCCAGGAGAGCATTTTTAACAGGTTAGCATCAGAGGATTTAATACATAATTCCTCATGAAAACTGTTCAAGTCACATAACTATAAACAATCCATAGTAGCAGGGAGAAATTTAACTCTCAGGTATCAGCTTGTGTTTTTCTTTTTTGTATTTCATATATTACCAGAAAGTACAGATATAGTTTGATGCCATTCTTCTTTATGTGTCTATATTAATCTTGTACTGTATTAAAAAATAGGATCACTTCAGAGTGAATGTTTGTAAATTATTATTATGCCTTTATTAAGCTATAATATTGCATTGATCTGATTGCATATTTCTTTACATAAATTTGATTCTTATTTTCTTGCAAAGTGCCTTGAGAAGACAAGTTGCTATGAATTTGTGCCATGTAAATAAACTGAACCTGACTGAATTTAATTATTTGCTTTCTCAGCCTTTGCAGATTATTTACCCACAAGAGGGCTCCAAAGCCAGGTTGTCTTCTTCCTGTCAGCCAGTAACCAACCAGCACTGCTATCTGCAGAATCTAGGCCTTTTATAAATACCCTTTCATCAATACGAATTAGCCTCTTTAGCATTGCATTAGTGAAAACTGTTCGCAACTGTTCCTAAAATCCCTAAGCTCCTGTAAATCTCCAATACGGCTCTCCCCCTCCCGCCACCACCGTTGCTAGCGTTGGAAAAAAAATAGAAGCAATTGAGGGATGTTTAAAAACAACCGTACAAAAGCCACTGCTCGGAAATTAATTAGGGCAATGTTTCAGAGCTGCCTCTCAATAAACACTAAGGGCTCATCCCCGATTAGTGGCCATTTATAACCTCCACTTTAAAGAGGATTTACTTGCAATCTCATTGGCCTGAGTGATCAGAGCCGGCCCCGTTGACATGGTTCTAAAGACGCTATTGTTTTTCAAATGAGTCAGCTTCACAGAGAGTGTCTTAAATTCACTCCTAATCGTGTTTTTTCAACGCACAAAGAAACTGTGACATGTTCAGTTTCTATTGTGCTGCTCAGTAAGTGCTTCTTTAAATATTTTTAGGTACGAGCTCCTCTGTGGGTCCCATGGCTCTGTCAGGACCCAACCCTGGGACACATCAGCTTGTGAGCTCACACAATGCTGCCTTTCACGCCATCGGCCACCTCACACCAGAATAATGACAGTCTGTGTAAAGCCAGGTCACTATGGCCAACTCGCAGAAACACAAATATTGCCACAGAGGAACAAAATGCATTCAAGGGTTTTTTTTTTTTTTTTTTTTTTTTCATGGGAACTGAGATGAATTAAATTTCACAGCGTTAGCATGCGAGTGGAACAGATGCCACAAGCTACGATAACAGAATTATTGCAGAGGAAGGATTTCTTCCTCATTTGAAGTCAGGCAGAAGTTCTTCGGTTCACAGAAATAACAGCAGGATTTTGAGGGTGGAACAAGACTATGAGCCAGGTCCGCAAAGTTGAGCTGCACATACTCTCTCACAATGACTAAAAATAGAACCACACTTGTGTCCTTAAAACGATTAACCCAAACTTCCTACAATAAACCGCGACCTCGTGAGAACCAAAGAATGGACGCTGAATGTCAGGAGGAGAACTGTGGAAGTCATGAAACTCAGTGTTTTCACCTTATTTATGTGGACCTGCTGCTGGTACTGTTTCTGTTTCTCCAAGAAATGCTGGTGCTGCTGCTGGATGACGAGCTGGGCCAGTGTGTTCTGAGGCAGAGGTGCCGACTGGGTTCTGTTCAGAGGTCTGTGTTTTGGTAGCTTAGGCCGACTGCTGGAGGGGCGATCCTTCATGACCAGAGGGGACTGAGCGTGGGAGGACATGGAGCCTTGACCTTGCCGGAGAAGACAAACACCTTGGTAAAGTTTTCCAAAAGTCATGCTGCAAATACAGGTGCACGAAAACGTCTGCAGTAAATCATGCATTTTATTTTGAAGGGCACCTAATATGCTTTGTTTTAAACGAGTGAGGACAGGTCTAGAGGCTATAGACATCAATGAATGTACAACTTAAAAAAAAATCTAAAATTTTGACCTGTATTTAAAACAAAAATAATACAGATATGTTACGGCCTACAGAATCATGACATGATAGTTGTCCAGTAGACCATATGCAAGGAGGGTCAACCACAAAAGGTCATCGTTACTGAAGCTGACTGAGTGCGATACTGTAGCACATTAATGGAAAGTTGAGTGGAAAGAAAAAGTGTGCCAGAAAAAAAAAACTGCACAAGCAACAGGGATAACCGTTGCCTCCGGAGGATTATGTAGCAAAGCTCATTCGGGAGTTTAAGTAAAAAATTCCAAGACGTAGACTGCAGCTGGATATGGAGCTTCTGGGGCCACAGCAGTCAGACGTTTCGGG